GGTAACTGAGGCTTGGAAGTCAGTGGAGGAGCAGGAAGATGGCACCAGGTCATCTGATCTGGGGGAGCGAGCAAGGAGCCAAGGGGTGCACTTGAGCAGGGCAGTGGGGCCTTGGCAGGACGGCGAGTGTGCATCTGCCTTGTCTTGTCTCTCCCCCTACCGCCTCTAACTCGGGGGTGGGGGGAGGAGACGGGCGGAGCCCAGCTTCCTGGCACTGAGTGCGCCAGGTGTGCAGGGCCACCGGTGGCCCTAGCGCAGCAAGCGTGCCCGCGCGGGCGTGGGCGAGGGACCCAGACGGGCGGAGCCCCACGCCCATCCTCCCTCCCACCCGCCCTTTCTCCCGTGGCTGGTGGCAGGTGAGTGGGTGTCGAGGAACCGCCATGCAGCGGAGAAAACAGGACGCCGCAGAAATCAGATTACTCACCTGCAGCTGCGAGTACCCGGGGCTAATAAAAGCTGAGCTTCCTGTTGTTTCTTTATTACCACCCTCTGCCTCCCGCAGCCCTAGGCGCTCCCAGCTGCAGCCAGAGCCCTAACTGATTGCCAGAAACCAGTAGCGTGGGGGTCCGGGACCACTTCCCCGCCTGAAATTCCAAGAGTGCAGCACAGGATTGGGCTAATGCTGCCTCAGGGTGGAACTCCATCACCTGCATGGGAGTCACCTAGGGTGATGGTTGACAAAACAGGTCCCCAGGCACTGCTTTGCACCTGCTGAATCAGAATCTGCAGTTTGGGGCCTAAGAGCTGCCAGTTCATACCAATCTCTGGTGTTTTGTATGCAGGCTAAAGTTGAGAACTACCAGGTTCAGGTACTGGAGGTTCAGATGATGCGAATTTGTTTTTCCTGACTGCCACCCAGTTAGAGATGAAACCTATCCCCAAAATTGGCCAAGTAAATCTCTGGCCTCAGGGCCTTAGTTCGCTTACTTGTTTAGTGGGGATGAATATGATATTTGTTGGGACCGAAACGAGGCTCAACTGAGTTCCTATGATTTGCACAATTCCTGCTGGTTGCTCGTGGAGTTTACGGACCAACCAGGAACAGACATTGAACAAACGTCAGGGCGGGAGGGCCGGGGGGCTGTGGGAGACAGTGGAGAGGCCATGAACGACTCTGGGAACGTTGAGAGAGCCCCTCACCATGCAGCAGTCCCCACCATGCCGGGAAACGGTCCTGCCCAGAGCCCTGACGACTCCTGAACCAGGTCCGGTGGCTTCTTCTCAGCCTCTCTGTGACCTCTGACTCTGGGGTGGGCCACACCCTCCTGCTCCACGTTCTGCCCCCTCAGCTTCAGGGAGACCTCATGTTTCTATTTCCCACCTCCCTCCACAGCAGCTTCTTTGTGATCACCCCAGCTCCTCCTCCTCCTGCCCCTGGGGTCGGAGGCTGCACCCCCTCCACACCCTTCCTGGACAACCTCACCCACTCCCAGTTACCTTCTCCCAGCTGAGCTTTGCCCTGAGCTCCCAGGTGTAAATGCAGCGCCTCTTAGATGCCTCGCTTTGCACTTACTACCTGCCAAGTGCCCCACCTCAGCTCGACCGACTCTGAATCCATCGTCTCAATCTGCCCTCCAACCTATTTCTCCTTCTGGGTTCCCTGTCTCGGGGCATCGCCCCTGGGTATTGTCCCGAGTGACTTCAGCTCCTCTGCTCCCACACACAGCGTCCCCGCACAATCAGCCTTCTCTCTCCAAGCGCTCTAGAGTTTGCCCCCTTCCTTCCAGTCCTCAGTCCCCATGGACGCTAAACCCCTAGTTCGGGACTCCATAATCTCTCCGCTAGATTATTTTAACAGCCTCTTAAACAGCCTTCCTGGTTCTGGTGCTTTTTTTTTTTTTTAATTGCTTTTTAGAGAGGGAGGGAGAAGAAAGGGAGGGAGAGAAATATTGACATGAGAGAGAAGCATCAATTGGTTGCCTCCTGTATGCACCTGGACTGGGGATCATATGCGTCCAGACCAGGGACTGAACCCGCAACCTAGGTGTGTGCCCTGACTGGGAATGGAACCCACAATCTTCCAGTTATAGGACGATGTTCCAAACAACCGGGCCACGCTGGCCAGGGCCTGGCTCTGGTCTTGTCCCTCAGTTGAGCCAGGGGGATCTTTCTGAGACACAAATCCTGTCCCTGTCTAACCTTCAGACCTTCACCGACTCCTCGGAGCCTTCAGGATACAGCCCTTCTTGTCCCATTCAGCTCCCACCCCCAGGCAGAGTGGCCCCCTCCTCTCCACCCGCCTCGTCAGTGCTTTGCACAAACAGGCACATTCACTGAGCTCGTACTAAGTGCTCAGTATCAGGCAAGCCAGTTATCTTTATTGCTTTGCCTCAGTCTCTTAGCTTTCCTGTTCCCCATTTACAGAGGCTGGGAAACTTGCCCAAGGTCACACGGCTAGTAAGTAGCAGAGTGGGATTCGTACCCAGGTGTCTCTGGCTCCAAAGCTGGTGCTCTTCACTGCTCTGGTCTTAAGCCACTTCCTCCCAACTGGATCGTAGTCTCACTTGTTGCGGCTTCCCTGCTGCCTAAGAGGGTGCCTTACACATGGTGGGCGCTTGTTGAATGAACAATCAACTCTATTCACACTCCCATTTGACTCTTACAACAACCCTGGAGACTACAAAAGAGTAAATTCAATATGCAATATCTGATGAACTCAAAAAATGTGTGATGAGTGTCTGGTTTATGGAAACAAATGTCTGTGAACCCACTGCCTCAGCATAGGAACTTGAACTTCACCAGCACTGTTGAAGCCACCTGTGTTCCTCTCTAATTCTGTTCCTTGCCTCACTCCAAAGGTCAACACAATGCAACCCTGAATTTTGTGGTCCCCATTCATTGCTTTGGAATAAAAAGATAGTGTCTCCATATGGGGATGGATCCTATACAACACACTGTTTTGTTTGCTTTTTGGCCTTTATATCAATAGTATAATGTATATACATTTCTCCTTGGCTTGATTTTTTTTCATGCATTGCTATGTTTCTGCACCACATACACGATTTTGCATTATTTAGCCGTCATTCATTTTTTCAGCTGCGTAATACTCCACTGAATAAATAAACCTCAGGTACCTTCACCATTCTCCAGTCAATGGGCATGTAGGTTGTTTCTAGTATTTTGGCATGATCATTTTTTAAAACACTTTACTTATTTATTCTTAGAGAGAGCAGAAGAGAGGAAGAGAGAGAAGGAGAGACACAGCGATGTGAGAGAGAAACATCAATCAGTTGCCTCTTGCACACACCCCAACCGGGGACCAAACCTGCAACCCAGGCGTGTGCCCTGATGAGAAATCAAACCAATGACCTTTTGCTTTGTGGTATGACATCCACCCACCTGAGCCACACAGGACAGAACAGGTCTATGATCACTCTTATAGCATGTCTCCTGGTGCACATGTGTCGGAGTTTCTCTACGCTACACACCCGAGGTGGAAGGTGTGTGTCATCGGGAATGCACACGTGTAGCTGTGCGAGTGCTGCCAGATGGTTTCCCGGAGGGCTCGTGCCGAAGAGCACTCCCCCTTCCTCTGCTGCAGCGGATGGGGGTTCCAGTTGCTCCACAGCCTCACTGGCACTTAGTGCGATCACTGTCCCGATCACTGTCCCAATCACTGTCCCGGAGAAGTCAGTCCTCATTTGCATTTCCTTAATGAGATGGAGCATCTTTTCATTTGTTTATTTTGCACTCTGGTTTCTTTTTCAGTGAACTTCCTGTTTAGGCGTTTCACCCACTTTTTAAAAAGTAGGTTTTTAGTTATTTCCTATTGCTTTGAAGTACTCTCAGGGAAGTTTTTTGTTTCTTAACAGAGTGAGAACCTGAGACCCAGGTCCACAGGAGACAGAGCCGGGTCCCAAACCCACCTCTGTCTGATCTAGGGCCCTTTGTCCCAAGCTCTTTGCCTCTCATTCATTCTTTCATTCATTCATTCATTCCTCAAATGTTTACTGACAGCCTCAGTAAGTACTGGAGAGGGAGCGGGGAGCTGTGGTTAAGACTGTAGACTCTGGAGCCCCTCTGCCTGGATTTTAATCTCTGCTCTGCCACTCACTAGCTGTGACCGTGGGTAAATTTCTAACAAATCATACCTTAGTTTCCTTATCTATAAAAAAAGAGCTAACAGTACCTCTCCCACAGGGTTAATGTGTAGGCACTGAAGGAGTTAATTCATACAAGAGCATTTAGGACTATACCTAGCCCAGTCAGCGCTGAATAAACAGTACATGACAGGTACCATGCCAGCAGGGTACTTGTTCAGGGGACAGGGGGATGAAAAGACAGACAAGGACACTGCTCTCATGGAGCTCACTGTCCAGTGGAAGGAGGTGGAGACAAAAAAAAAAAATAATTAATTAATTAAATAATGAGGCTTGTGATGAAGGCAAGGGAGAAACCCAAAAAACGACGAGAGAGACTGGCCGGGCACCGACCCAGCTGAGTGGTCATGCAGGGGAAGCCCTCAGGAGCAGGTGACCTTTGGGCTGACGTGTGGAGGGTGAGCAAGAGCCGCTGGGGCGAAGGGCGGCCCGTCAGAGTAAAGGGCACACGCAAGGGCTCTGGGGCAGGAAGAGCACCGCGTGTCCACGGGAACTCGAGGCGAGCAGGGTGGCCGGGGCGGAGCCAGCCGGGAGGGCAGGGCAGGAGGGGGGGGTGGGGGAGTCACCTGGTGAAGAGCCTGAACTCTGCTCTGAGGGCAGCGAGGGGCTGTGGACCGCGGATCGCTGTGGCCTTGTCTATGTTTTTAGAAGATCATTTCAACGGCCGTGTGAAGATCAACTATCTATGAATTCATCTAAATACTTCCCGTAGCCACTAGTATTTTTAGTCAGTACCCCTTCTGTGCAAAGCAAAACTTCCCTTTATTGATCTGAAATGCGCTGCTTTGGGGTTCCCAGGGGAGCCCCCTTCTGCCTCGTGGGTGAGGGTTATCGGCCCCGTGTGAGATCTCTGGTCAGTTAGCTGTACAGAGGTGCGAAGATCCCCCAGGTGGCACTTACCTGCTCGGTGAGGTTTGCCCACCTGTACACAAAAGCACCTCAGAGGGGCCGTGAGGATGAGACGGGACCGGGCCGACGGCAGGGAGTGACCGAAACGGGCCAGTTGCCAGGAAGATGATGATGCCAGAAGATGGGGGTGGGCGGGTGATGAGGGTTCTGCTGAGTGGTCTTGGGTGGTGCCGAACCTCTCCAGCCTGACCTGAGGAATGAAACACAGAGGTGGTAAGATACGCCTGCAAGTAAGGCGGCCGGGCCAGATGACCTGCGGGGACCTGCCCAGCTCTGCTGTCGCGGGCTTCTCTGAGTTAGACCCTTGTTCGCTCTTCGGCCTGTCCAGGCTACTCGCTACCCTGAAGTTCAGTGGTTCCCTAGCGACACGTGGTGAGAGACGGAGTAGCACGGCGGAGCGGAAACTGGCCTGGAGACGGGAGGCCCGAGGTTCCAGCTGCGCCACTTACAGTGGGGTCCTCATCACAGTGCATTTAACACACACGCAGTTCAGCACACACGTAGGAGGAGAGAAGAGAGAGCAATATGCATCAATCACTGCTACGGAGTTACACTCCCAACCCGCCCCGTGAGCTCCCACACCTTGATGGGGACATGCTATATACTGTGACCTGCCACAGTCCCCCAGTTGGTCCCAGTTTCCCAGTGCCCAGCAGAGTGTGGGCTCTTTCTATGCTGTGTATGATCCAGGCGTTCAAAGGCTTTTTATACTCTGTGGCCCTAAGTACAAGCCCACCATTCCATCTGGCGGTCTGTGGAAGCCGTAGCTTTCTGTAACGCCACCAGAGAAAGAACCTGCTGTTTTCACTGGGGAAACAGAAGTAATGGGAGGAAACCTCCCAGACCCCCGGCTCGCCCCCCGCTCACTTGCCAGCATCATCTGCATCAGTTTCTCTGCCTCTGCCACCGCCGGTTACACAGGTGCTCACTTCTAAGACCGCTCCCTCCGCTTGGCACTACCCCAGGTCCCTCTTGCTTCCCCCAGGTCATCACCCAGCAATTCCTCCGGCCTCTCCTGCAGCTGGTTCACTCCCTTCGGCACCCAATCACCTGCCAGTTCATTCTCCCTTAAACATGCGTGTGCACACACGCGGCCAAGGACGCATTTCTTCGCTTCCCTTCACAGGAAAACTTCCCCGAGAGCTTTCTGGTTCAACAGTCTTCATTGCCCTTTTCCCCTTGTCCCTTCAACCCCCTCTAGCTGGGCTCTCACCCCCTTCACTCCACTGAAACTTCTCTTGTCGGGGTCATCGGTGACCTCGTGCTGCCCAATGTACGGTCACTTCCCAGCCCTCCCCATCAGCATCTGACCAGGCGGTTGAGCCCTCCTGCAGGTGCACATCTGTCCTGTGCCTTTCTGGGCCCCACTCGCTCCGTTCCCCTCCCACCTCACAGGGCCCCTGTTCAGTCCCCTCTCCCTCATCTGCCTGAGGTCCCCGTGCTGGCGTCCCTGCGAGTTGGCCCCGGGGCCCCTCCACTTCCCCGGCTCACTTCCCTAGTAGCTCCCATCCCTCCCAAGGCTTTACAGACACCCTGTGTACTGGTGAGTCTTCTTTTGCTTCTCCCACTCACCTCCAGAATCATACATCTCCACTCAGATAGCCAACGAGAAACTCGAACTGAATATGGCCACAACTGAACTCTTAATACTTACCTTCAAACCTGACCCTCCCTTGGTTTTCCCAGCTCAGCAAAGGGCAACTCTGTCCTTCCTGTTGCTCAGGGCACAGCCCGGGTCGTCCTTGACTCCTGTCTCTTACCCCCACATCTGACACAGCACAAATACCACCAGCCCTGCCTTCTGAAGTCGTCCCGAATCTGACCCTTGCCACCTTCGTAGCTACTACCCATGTCGGAGGGACCCTCTGTTCTGGCCTGGATTTTGTGTAACAGCCTCCCAACGAAGCACCCTGCTTCTGCCCCTCCCCCATGCTCTATTCTCCATATCATAGTCAGCAACACCTTTTACACTTGATCTTAGCTGAAAGGATGAGACGCAATCAGCAACATCTTTTAATAACATGAGTCAAAGGACTTTATTTCTCTTTTCAAACCCTTCAGTGCTCCCTTCTCCTTCAAAGAAAATCTCAACACCTTTCCATTCCCAGAAGGTCCAACATCTGCAGTGCACACCCCTCCTTACCTTATTGCCTCCTGCTTGCCCTCCCCTCCCCTCAGCTGCACGGGCGTCCCGGGTGCTCTCTGAGCAGCCAAGCACAGTTGCACCTCAGGGTCTTTGCACTTGCTGTTACCGCGGCCTAGTATGGACCACTCCGGCCCGTTTATCCATCCACAGGGCTCACCTTCGCTCATCACTAAAGAGGCTTTCCCTGGCCACGCCACATAAAACGGCAGCCCATCCTCCCTCCCGCCTCCCTGCCACTTTCCAGCCCCTCTCCTGCTCTACTTTTCTTCCTAGCTGCTCGCCATCCGATGGACACACTAAACGAGTCTTTGTTGATTTGTTCGTCATGTGTCTGTCTCCCCCTAGAAGGTCAGCTCCAAAAGGCAGAGGATTTGTTACATCCTCTGCTGTATTATCCAGAACAGTGCCTGGCTCATGGTAGATGCTAAATAAATATACGTTAAGTGAATAAAAATGTTTGAATAACGGGGAAAGTATTTGTTAGTTCCACTGTGGCATGTTCCTACAGGGTTTTCGAACCTTTGCTCATTCAGCAAACACACTATGGGGTATTTCATTTCTGCGCCAACTTTAAAGCCTGCCTGCAGTGAGATGGGTTTCCACTGTGTTCTTGGCGTCCTGCCCCTCTGGGCTCAGTCTGTGTGGTGGGGCATCCATGCATTCAACCTGCGTTTAAAGAGCATCCCTCACACGGCCAACTATTTTGCTAGGGCCTGAAATTCCAAAAGGAGCAATCAAACCGAGATCTCCTCTGGAGAGGAGGCAGAGATGAGACCGTTCACCACAAATACACAATTGCCCTAACGTGTGAAAACACTGGTGAGGATGCGGGTAACCAGAGAGTCTCGCGCATTTTCAGTGGACGCGTAAATTGGCACGGCCATCGTGGAAGGTGTGTCCTTCTCCTGAATCGCCCTCCAGCCTGGGACTCGCCCTCAGGTCATCACCCAAAGGCAAAAGACAGGGATGTTCACTGAACATTCGTGTTTTCATTACAGTGAAGAGTTGGGAACAGTGATGTCCGGCCACAGGGGGCTGGTTATGGGAACGGTCACAGCTCCATTCAGTGGTTACTAAGGGGCCATTGGCCAAGAACGTTGACCATGATGCTGTAAAAACTATTCAGGAAGACTTGAGGATATTTGTAATGCACTGTTAAAAGTACAAATTTAGCCCTGGCTGGTGTAGCTCAGTGGATTTAGCTCGGGCTGCGAACCAAAGTGTCACAGGTTCAATTCCCAGCCAGGGTACATGCCTGGGTTGCAGGCCATAACCCCCAGCAACCGCACATTGATGTTTCTCTCTCTCTCTCTCTCCCCCTCCCTTCCCTCTCTAAAAATAAATAAATTCTTTAAAAAAAGTACAAATTTAAACAAGTGCCGAACAACACGTAAACCGTGATGTCACTCTTATTTTTGCGTATGTGTATGTGTTCAGACCCAGGAAGATGCTCGGAAGAGGGCGCCACCGTGTCCAAAATGTGGTGGCTTCAGCTGTTGGCACGAGGGGGTGGGGTGGGGCTGGTGTCTACTGTCACTCTTTTAACCTCTCTCTGCATTTGGAAAAAATCTTATGATTAAAAAGTTGAAAGAAAATGTGGTTATTTTGGAGTAGAGTGATTTGGGAACTTTTTTTTTCTTTTTACTTTATGTGTTTCATTTAATTTTCTCTAACGAGTATCTACTGCTTGTATACAGATAATGAAGAGACTGTGAAACGCAGTGCAGCTCTCGTCACACAAAATGCTTACATAAATTTTTAAAAAGAATAGTTGCCCTGACAGTTTATTTTTAAAAAACGAAGACAACACAGATAACTGTGAATAGGGAATCGGATACATCAATTGTGGTAGTCACACAAATACTGTGCAACTGTTTTTTTTTTAAAGCTATTATAGAAAAGATATGTATAGAACTTTGATAAGTGAAAAAACAGGCCATAAGACAGTTTGTACAGTATTGAGCCATTTTTGAAAAAACGAAACAAAAACAACCTACGATGCCTGCCCATAGAAAAAACTGGAAATATCCACGCCGAAATGTGAGCGGCAGTTTTCTTTGGGAAGTGGAATCGCAGGTGTTTTCCCCTCCCGTCCGCTCATTTGTGAGCTGTGGATCAGTCGGCCCCACGGGACATGGGAATGTCCCGGAGCCGCGCTGTCCAATGAGTGGCCACCAGCCACATGTGGCTGCTGAGCACGTCACGTGTGGCTAGTGAGACTGAGGAATTAACTTTTTCTATTTCATTTACTTCTCATTAATTTAAATTAAAATAGCCACGTGCAGTAAGTGGCTGCTGCATCGGGCAGCACAGTTCTAAGTTGTTTACAAAGAATACACGTTGGCTTTTCTTTCTTGTTTTCTTGCTCATTTGTTTTTCTGCCCTGCTCCTTGCAGAGCTCCCTTGAGATCTCGGGAAGAGCCAGAGAGTGTGAGGGCGTTGCGAACCGTAAAGTGCTGGAGAGCATTTGAGATCTCGCTCCTCCGTATGTGCTGTCAGTTGGGCTTGAATAAATTCTTACAGCAACATGTATGCAGTGCTCTGTCCTCAGGAGGTGCTGTTGTGTGTGACTCTGCTTCCTCTCGCCCCGGCCCCTTTTCTCCTCCCACCTTGGGCGCTGAGATAGAGGCCTGACTAGAGAGAGCATCTCTGGGTGGTTTCTGGAAGGAGGGGGTGGCCTGGGGTCTGGCCCCTGCAGCTAAGGAGGCATCCCTTCGCTTGTGCGTCCATCCCACAGCCACCAGGAGCCCCTCCCTCCTGACCGGGCACTGCGCTAGCCCGAGTGCAGTGGGGCGAGAACGTGTGATGTCTGCCCTCATGGAGCTCGGTGTCCGGGCTTGGGGGTTTGGAGTGGAGCGTCAGAGGGCCTGGACGCCGAAGGCTTGGGTTTGAGCCCAGCTAAGCCGCTCTGGGAATGCCACTTAATCCTCCCAAACCTCTGTTTTCCCTTCTGTAAAAGCGAGAAAATCCTGACACTGCCCTGCTGACCCCACAGGGTTGGTCAGGGCTGGAAAGGGAGCCGCCAGGTCTGCGGAGAGGGTCAG